GAGATAGGGTACTGAGTACAAGAGGAACAAGATTTCTTGGGACAAGATCTTTTTCCTTTTCTAAGAGCAATGGGTAAATCATCAGAATCAGTAGTAATGGGTAAGTCATCAGAAGTATTAACACCATGATCAGAAATATGAGATTCAGGACTTACCAGTGGTTCAGACGATTGAGGTTGCTGCTGAGGCAATGTGGGTTGTTTCCTTCTTTGATATACCAACTCAGGTGTCATAATCTTCCGTATCTCTGGTGTACTTGATGTATCAGTCACAGGAGGATCACTCACAGGAGGATCACTCACAGGAGGATTAGACACAGGAGGAACAGAAACAAGAGGAGGATACACTGACACAGGTAAAAGAGTAGACACTGAAGACTCAAACAAGGGAGGTGAAGGATTCTCCCCCTGAAGATGAGGACCTTGGAAAAAGGACTCAGATTCCTGAAATGTAACATCCATAGAAACAAAAAATTTCCTACTACCAGGGTGATAGCACTTGTAGCCTTTCTTATCAGGAACATAACCAAGAAAAACACATTTAATAGCCCTAGGGTCCAACTTACTGCGATGATGTTTATGAACATGAACAAAAGTAACACACCCAAACACTCGTGGAGGAAGACTCATAGTTGGAATAGAAGGGAAAAAAGAAGTTATAGAGTGAATAGGACTTACATGGTCAAGGACCCGAGTGGGTAAACGGTTGATCAAGAATGCTGCAGTACGAATAGCATCTCCCCAATAGTATTTGGGTACATGTGTCTGAAACATTAATGCACGAGCCACTTCAAGAAGGTGACGATTTTTTCTTTCAGCAACTCCATTCTGTTGAGGGGTGTCAACACAAGTAAGTTCATGAATCATACCGTTATTTTGTATAAATTGGGAAAAACTGTGATTAACATATTCAGTACCATTATCTGTGCTTAGTCTCTTGATTTTTTTACCAAATTGGATCTCAACCATTTTATAAAATTGAAAGAACAGTTGTGGTACCTCAGACTTTTCACGCATTAAGTAAACCCAAGTTACACGAGTGCAATCATCAATAAAAGACACAAACCATCTATTTCCAGAAGCATGAGGGACTTTAGAAGGACCCCAAACATCAGAATGAATAAGATCAAAAGGTTCAACACTCTTAGTACTACTAAAAGGAAAAGACACACAATGATGCTTAGTAAACTCACAAACATCACAATGAAAAGACTCAACAGGCTTAGACAAAAATAATGACGGAAATAAAGACTTGAGTAAACCAAATGGAGGATGTCCCAAGTGCTTATGATGAAGCCAAATCAAAGAATCAGCAGTTGATTGACCATGAGATATCAAGATGTGATCTGTTACTTTATTTGCGGGAGATTGTGACACCAGATAGTACAACCCACCTTGCTCTTTAGCACTACCAATCGTCTTCCCCGTGATGAGATCCTGAAAAACACAATGGGTAGGGAAGAAGGTTACAGTAGAATTCAAATATTTTTGTAATTTTATGAATAGAAAGAAGATTCGTGGAGAGTTTAGGAACATGAAGAGCATCTTTAAGATGTAAGGACTGCTGTAAGTTTATGTCACCAGAACCCGCAACTGATGTATGTGAGCCATCAGCTATGGCTATTGTATGAGTTCCAATGGTAGGATGATAAGAAGTAAAGGAGTCAGCACAACAAGCCATATGATCAGTAGCACCAGAATCAACAACCCAAGAATGTTTAAAATCAGTACATGAAGAAAGGAAAGAATGAGTTTTGGATCTCATACCAGTCATAGCCAAAGAACTAGTATCAGATGGCTTACTCAGATAATCAAGGATGGTTCAGAGCCGTTCCAACTCATCTGGACGAAATGCAGGTTGGGTCTCATTAGGTGCAGGGGTTATTTCAGAGGAAGTAAAATGCGCTTGACCACGCATCCTTGCCATCTTTTCTAAGACAGTTTGCTTTCCATGGAGGCGAAAGCATAAATCTTTGATATGACCTGTTCTTTTACAATAAGAACACCATCGATAATCTCTCTTAGGTCTACAAAATGCATCACCATAAAACTTTGTAAAGGAAATCCTTTGAGAAGAGGCCATACTGCACAAAAAACAGTCAACGAAAAAGCTCCAAGAAGCCAAAAAATTCGGAAAAAATACCAAACGATGTCTGATCTGAGAGGAGAGCACAGATCCAGGAAGAGGGTGAAAGGACGATCAAAATGGCGGTGGTCCGATCGGAAAATATGGTCTCACGCGCCGCCACGCGCCGGTGAGACTGGCTGCGCGTGGGCTTCACTCTCCGATGAAGGGGAGGCGCGTGTGGGCGCGTGCGGTGGTCTTATGGGCTGAGATTTTTGGGGCGATGTCGTCCGGCGAGCACGGTTCTATCTGGGGCTGCACGGAGTTGAAAAACCGTCGGGAAGAGGTGCAAACGCGATGAAACAGATTCTGTTTTGTTGGAAAAAAAAATGCGATGAACAGTAACACGGTCTGGTTTTTTCGTGTCTGAAGGTGTTTGGGGAAGACGATCCGTGACTGAAGGTGTTTGATAAGAAAAAAATAAAGGTCTTCTCGGTCCAAGAGGTCCCCGGAAATTTTTTTCCGATGGCAGCGAGAGACGAAAAGAATAGAAGGTTTTGTTTTAAAGACAATAGAGGTTTTGTTCTAAAGACAATAGGTGCGGAAGCAGAGCCCTCAGGATCGAGAGCTCTGATACCAACTTGAAAGAAAAGGGTATTTGAAATATTATTGAATTGTGTTAATAATCTGTACAAAAGGATCTCTATTTATAGAGAATGAAAACCCTAATATTTGACCTAATGGGCTTGGCCCAATACAACAAATAATAATAATAAAATAACCCATATTTACAACATTATTAGATTTCATCCAAACAGAGGATAATTTAATTTTCTTTCCTTTCACTTTCCATGTGGTGGTAAGGTGTACAATATGCTTTCAGCCCACGTAATGACACAAATGACTTCATATTTTAGCAATATCAGCTGGTCCACATAGCATTAGAAAAAAACCTCATCTTCGGTTCTTCCACCCCCAAAAGAAACGATTGCCAAGGTAAAATACAAAAAAAAAAAACTAGTCATGGATGGTGAAGCAGACAAGCGTTGACTTCACTTGGTAGACAACGTATAAACCAGGGCATCACTACAGTCTAATAAGCAAAGCTAGGGACAAAGACAGAAGAGGGAGAAAAGACCAAGTTTTATTCATTAGTCACAAAGAAATTCTTATGTATTTTCAGATTAATTCAATCAACTACTTAACTTTTATAATAAATTAAGTTACTTTGATTGGACCGTTTACTTTGAATTTTGTTACCCTTTTTTCTTCTCTTCAGAGGTAAGTACATTCAATGCCGCAAATCTTGGAAGGGGATGGAACCTCTGATTTTGATTTGAAACTAGCTTATAAGCAATTTTCATGATAATTTCTGTACTACATACACAAGGTGAAATTTACATGAGTATTAGATGAAGATGTGTTACAAAAACAAGATTCCTAAAGTAATCTCATCTAGATTTTAGGAATTTTTCCCGAAGAATATTTTCATGAGTATTAGATGAAGATGTGTTACAAAAAAAAATTGCAAGAAAGGATGACCAATGCGCACTTAAAGATAAGATATAAGAGGATTCGTATCTATCTCGCAACAAAACATCATATTGTCATACTTCTGTTTGAAAAATGAAAACTACAAATCATTGTTAACATTATCTATCTATAACACATGCATGTCATGTTGTAGAAAAAGAAATACAAAAACAAAAAAGGTGGCAAATCAATTCCTTGTAAGGTGAGGAAAGAGATAGCGGACCTATTTTGTTAGACTAGATAAAAAATGCGGAACATATAACATAACTTCACCTGTAATAATAGGGAGGTAGTTTCCGTGGAGCATGGATGCTCTTTTTTTTTTTGGTAATCAGCATGGATGCTCTAATAATATTCAAATGTGTTGCAAATACATCTTAATTAAAGAATCAATAACCTTAAACAAAACGGAAAAATAATCAATAGCAAGTTGCTTCCAATATCTTGACCCCGCACTTTTAGGTGCTTAAGATTTGACTTGTTTGTTAAGTTGGATAACCCTAAGCAAGAATGGATATAAAAAAACTACATCTAATGAGGAAGTGATTTTTTTTTTTTTTTTTTTTTTAGGAAGGGATTTGTTGCTAGCAGAATCAGTTAATTGAGTGGTGACTAGCCATAAAACAACAAAGGACAATGTAGAGTTTCCTCCTTTCTACTAATTTATATCCTAAGAGAGTGAGAAAATTGATTATAGCTTTTTCATTCCCCCCATTATGTTACTCTTTGAACCAGAATAGTATCTGTTTGCATGTAACTTATTTCGGTTCGTATCTAGCACTTTGGTTTTTCTATTTGTGCTTTCATTGAACATCTTTCATGTTTGTAAGTCATATCTTTTCCTTGATCAATTTACATATTAGATTTCATTCAAAGAAAGGATAATTTAGTTTCCTTTCTTCTCACTTTCTTTCATTCCAAGTTATGTGTGGGACCAATACCAAGTGGTGGTAAGATATCCAATATGCTTTCGATCCACTTAATGACATAAATGACTCAAAATGTAACAATAATAGCTGGTCCAAATATCATGAACTGTAAACCTTACCCAGTCTTCCACCCAAAATACACATAATAATAATCAAGATGAAGAAGACATGCACTGACTTACAGTTTCATTGGAATGGCTAGAAGATTTTAAAAGCTTGTTTAGCTTTCGGCTCCATGTCACATGCTTTTTGGTCCACACACGATTCTTATCTTGACTATAATAAGCCTGTGTGTTAGGTAGCGAGATAGATCGATTGACTTGAGATGGATTGCTCTTTTTGTTTTTTTTGTTGTTGGTAGAGGCAATTCAAGATGTCACACTATGTGTTGATTTTATTGCCTCAAGTATTTAAATGCACAGAGTAACAGAAGGAAGGAATAAGCCTCTTTTGTATTTCCAAAATAGCTATTAAACAGAAGAAAACACGATTAGTGGCCTCCTGCTCCTCAACCAAAATATGAAGCCTTTTTCACTCACGTTACCTGCATTTTGCTCTACATGCCTTCACCTATTTCTTCTCTTAATTACTTTGAACTCACTCTGGTTTGGCCCAGAAACAACTGCCTCCGCATCAGGAAATGAAACTGATCACTTGGCATTGCTCAAATTCAAGGAATCAATATCCAATGACCCATATGGAATCTTGGCCACTTGGAATAGTTCTACCCACTTTTGCAACTGGCATGGAATTACATGCAGCCCCATGCATCAAAAAGTTACTGAGTTGAACCTACAAGGCTATCAGTTGTATGGACTCATATCTCCACAAGTTGGCAATCTCTCTTTTCTTAGAAACCTCAACCTCACAAACAACTACTTCTACGGAAAAATCCCACAGGAGTTGGGTCGATTGTTACGACTGCAGCAACTCTCTCTCATCAATAACACATTGACTGGGGAAATTCCTACAAACTTGACCAGTTGCTCTAATCTCAAAGAGTTACACTTATCTGGGAACAATCTGATTGGCAAAATACCAATTGAAATTGCCTCTTTTCGAAAACTTCAAATTTTTGCTGTTCGAAAAAACAATTTAACCGGAGGAGTCCCAGCATTCATAGGGAACCTTTCATCCCTAACAGTTCTCTCGATAAGTTATAATAACTTAGAGGGAGATATTCCACAAGAAATATGCCTCCTCAAAAATTTGACAAATATAGGAGTGGCTGTCAACAAATTGCGTGGTATATTTCCTTCTTGTCTTTACAATATGTCATCTCTTACTTCAATCTCAACTGCAATGAATCAATTTAATGGCTCTCTTCCATCCAACATGTTCCACACCCTTCCTAATCTCCAATTATTTGAAATTGGCCGGAATCAAATCTCAGGTCCAATCCCCACTTCCATTGCAAATTCTTCTGTCCTTCAAGTACTTGATATCGTTAAAAACCATTTTGTAGGACAAGTTCCAAGTCTAGGGAAGCTAAAAGACATATATTACCTAAGTTTGTCTCAGAACAATCTAGGTGACAATTTAACTACGGATTTGGAGTTTTTAAAATCATTGACAAACTGTAGTAAGTTGCAACATTTAGGTATTGCCTACAATAAGTTTGGAGGTCGTTTGCCAAATTGCTTGGGCAATTTATCCTCCCAAATCAATAAACTATATATTGGGGGTAATCAAATATCAGGACAAATTCCTGCAGAATTAGGAAATCTAATTAACTTAACTCTCTTGGGCATGGAAAATAGTCGTTTTGAGGGGATTATTCCATTTTCTTTTGGAAGGTTTCAGAATATGCAACTTTTAAATTTGGGTGGAAACAAGCTGTCAGGAGATATACCATTCATCATAGGCAACCTCAGTTTATTGTATTTTTTGAATTTATCCCAAAATTTGTTAGAAGGAAAAATTCCTCTAAGTATAGGAAACTGTCAAAATTTGCAAGTTCTAAACCTTTCTAGAAACAACCTTAGAGGAACAATACCCTTTGAGATTTTTAATCTTTCCTCGTTAACAAATTTACTAGACTTGTCAGACAACTCATTGAGTGGTAGTCTACCAGATGAAGTGGGACAATTGAAAAATATTGATGTCCTAGATGTCTCAGAGAATCGTTTATCTGGTAATATCCCTGGGACCATTGCAGAATGCTTAAGCTTGGAGTACCTTTATTTGCAGGGGAATTCCTTCCATGGAATTATCCCATCCTCTCTGGCTTCACTAAAAGGTCTTCGACATTTAGACCTATCACGAAATCACTTGTCTGGATCAATTCCTGATGTTTTGCAGAATATTTCTTTCTTAGAATACTTAAATGTATCCTTTAACATGTTGGATGGTGAGGTACCAACGGAAGGTGTCTTTCGAAATGCAAGTGAATTAGCAGTGACCGGAAACAATAAGCTTTGTGGAGGTGTTTCGGAGCTACATCTACCGCTATGCCCAGTCAAACGTGAGAAACATGCAAAACACCACAATCTAAGGTTGATATCAGCGATAATTAGTGTAATTGCTTTTCTTCTCATACTATCATTCATTCTCACTTTCTACTGGATGAGGAAAAGAAACAAGAATCCATCTTCTGATTCACCAACAATTGACCAGTTGGCCAAGGTTTCATACCAAAACCTACACCGTGGAACCGATGGGTTTTCGACAAGAAACTTGATAGGATCTGGAAGCTTTGGCTCTGTATACAAGGGAACTATTGAGCCCGAAGACACAGTTATTGCCATAAAAGTCCTAAATCTTCAAAAGAAAGGAGCTCACAAAAGTTTCATTGTTGAATGCAATGCACTCAAAAATATTAGGCATCGAAATCTGGTTAAGATTTTAACATGTTGTTCTAGCACAGATTTCAAAGGTCAAGAATTTAAAGCTCTTGTTTTTGAGTACATGACAAATGGAAGCTTAGAAAGTTGGTTGCATCCAGCAGCAAATATTGCAGATCAGCATAGATCATTAAACCTTGAGGAGAGGTTAACTATTATTACTGATGTTGCTTCAGCATTTCATTATCTTCACTACGAATGTGAGCAAACTATCATTCACTGTGATTTGAAGCCTGGAAATGTTCTTCTTGATGATTGTATGGTAGCTCACGTGAGTGATTTTGGCCTAGCAAGATTGCTCTCAAGTGTTGGAGTCTCTCTCACACAAAGTAGCACTGTTGGAATAAAGGGGACCATTGGTTATACTCCTCCAGGTATAACATGATATTGTTTGTTTAAATCATGAAATCTTTTAATTTCAAGTTTTAGCTATTGTTTTTTTAACAACCTTTTTATTTTCTTTTGGGTTATTATTTTGATGATAACTTTAATGATATTAACTAATTTGAATTACATTTCAGAGTATGGAATGAATTTTGCGGTGTCAATTGAAGGTGATATGTATAGTTTTGGAATTTTGATTTTAGAAATGTTAACCAGAAGGAGACCCACAGAAGAAATGTTTCAAGATGGTCATAATCTCCACAATTATGTTGAAATTTCAATTTCAAATCACCTTTTACAGATTGTGGACCCGACTATTCTCCCCTACGAATTAGAACAGGGTACTGGCAATAAGAAACTTGGTCTTATGCATCCTAGTGTAGAGAGATGTTTAATTTCTCTTTTTAGGATTGCACTTGCTTGTTCAATGGAATCACCAAAAGAAAGAATGAGTATGATTGATGTCATTAGGGAGCTTAATCTGATCAAAAGTTTCTTCCCTTCTAGGATTTAGTGGAGGCAAGTTACATTGTGTCATCATGCTATTGCTACCGGAAAATGCTTACAAATGTTTCATTTTATTTTCCTCTTCACATTGTCTATTTGTAATCTAGTTAATGACCCTTTCAATACTTTATTTTATTCTTATGTAAGTTTTAATGTGTTTGTATTATTATTTAAAGATTTAATGTATGGTTAAATTTTAATTTAGCACAATATATATGCAATAAGTTATGGATTCAAACTGTTTAATTTATGAATTTTTAATTTTAAAATAATTGTTATGGACCGGCACAATACTTCCACATTAGACATATGGTTCGGCCCAAACCTATTTCGATGTACGGAACCCTCTATAAAAGAGAGGTTTCATCTGATATCCTCTTATCGTTGTGGTAAATACACGCCACCTCATTTGGCCCTCTGCCTCTCATCATGCATAGTAATACGATGCTACTTACAGTTGTCTCCTCCATAAACACCGCAAGCCCTAAATTCGATAGCAACCATTTATTCTAAATATATTTAATATATATATTCGATTTTGTGCATGATCAATAAATAATATTTTATTATAATTTAGATTTTTAAAATACGATGGCAACTTTTAATTGTTAAATAAATGATAATTGACTTTATCTTAAATTTTAAGACAATAATGTTTTAAAAAAAATGAATAAATAGATTATGAAATTATGATTTGCAATACAGCAATAAAGAACTATAAAATAAAATAAAATTTCCTATCATGAACTAACAACACACAAAGATCGAACGTAAATTGTCACAATTGAATAAAGTAACGTAAGGTTGTCTGTATAATAATGATCAAAACGATGACTAAACATAATTCAGTTTATAGAAATAGCATTCATGCATATAATAAGGAAAAAATATTTCTCCTATATATTATAGGAAATAAAATAAAAATGTTTCTAATTATTACTTGCAAACTTTGAAAATTTTGTTTCTCTTTTCTGTATTTTTTTTTTTTTTTACCAAAATCCGAAAGAACGAAAATAACTTTATATCATGTTACTAAACCCATGCTCAATAAATCAAAATCGTTGTTACTTAAGACAAAACACACCCAGCATAACCAATTTCATGTAATACAACTCTTCAATTCTTTTCTTTTCTTGCCAAGTATAAGCAAAACAGGCCAGCCTCTTGTACTTCATATGTTTGGTTACGTAAGTGTTGCGAAATCGGCAAGTATACCGTTCGTTTCAAGTAATAAAGTGATAAGTAAGATATCGTTCCCTCGAGGATTAATGCACCAAGTATTAATTCAACTATTCCCCTTAAGTTGGAAAAAAAAATTTGTTTGTATTGTGAAAGTAATTGATTTTGGGATTTCAAAACAGAATTTAAAACCAATTAAATTTAAAATAGAAAATTTAAAAACAATTAAATTTGAACGCATGCAAGATTATCAAGAACGTTAAGAAAATATTGGTGAAAAATTTGTAAAAAGACTGTAGCCAGGATGCACTTCACCTCCGATCCTCCCTTATATTCCTATATTGTATTTTATAATTAACTAATTGGTTTGTCATACAATTCATTATTTCCCTATAAAATAGTTGAACCCTAATGTCTTAGTGATTTCAACCCTTTAACCTAATTAGAATTCTAATGTCTTAGTAATCCCTCTTGAATTAAGCATTAAGCAAATGAATTATAAGTCTGCAATCTATGTAAGCCTATGTCTAGGTCATTCACAAATTGTTATTCTACCCTTGTCCGGACAAAAACCACAATATGTCTATTGTGAGTCTTAACCCTCAAAGCCTTATAATTAGAGTGGCAAATCCTAATCAGGATATGGAAAAATTAACACAGGTAGAATAAAACAAACTAACTAATTAAATTATAAAAATAATATAAAAAATATAAATGATTCACATCGGGTCCGTAATCCCAACTACAAAAGAAATTAGCCAGACATATCTGGCTTAAAAAAATTCAAAGAATAAAAAGTGTTCATAAACTAAGAAGAAAAGAAGAAGAAGAATAAAAACTCAATGGTCTTCTGTCTTCAACTCTGGTGGAATCCTGATCTCCAGAGCGAGTCTCCAAGAATTCTCTCAATTCTCTGATCTCACAATTCTCTCCAGCCAAAGATGATTTTCTCTGGGAGTCTAAGCCTCTATTTATAGACTTTGTGCCTTGCTTAGATATCTTGAGTAAATCTTCATCGTAAATCTTGATCTAATCTTCTCTGATATAGTCTGATACAAGTTTAAAGATTATCCTGTACCTTCCGCGCTACTAGCGCCTGTTTGGCGCTTATAGCATGGGAGTGTTGTTTAGCATTCAGCAGGTTGGCGCTACTAGCGTGGTTCCCGCGCTGATAGCGCGGTTGGCAAATTTGGCTGGCGCTACTAGCGCCACGCTAGTAGCGTGGGAGTCTCTGGATGAAAAAGTTCCTCTAGCGCTACTAGCGCGAATTCTGCGCTAATAGCGTGGGAATTCAGCCTGGTAGCTTCCAATTGGGCTTCTTTTTGTCTGTTTTCCTACAAAATCAGAAGAAAATCAGGTTTACGATCTTTGATTGAGATTTAACAAATTAACAGTAATTACTGCCCTTTTTATTCAAGATTAATCAAGATTCTTTCTCTTTTTGGTTTAGATTTATACATATGTTGGAGGCATATCAGTAAGCTAACTAGTGTAAACACTCAATTTTGTCCAGACACATTAAAAAATAATAGGTCTATTCAGTAATGTTCCTAACTCTTTGAGCTTTCTTAATCTATTTTTTTTTTAATTTTTTAGTTGTAAAAAAAAAATACCATCTTTCTATCTATTTTAGCCGCCCATCCCACGTGAGTTTTTCATCGGTTACCATACCTTTAACCCATACCCCGAACCGCCTTCCCTCATTAACCGCCTGTGTCAATCAAGTTTCCCTCATTAACCGCCTTTGTTAAATTGATTAGTTTCAGGCAACCCCACGTGAAATATTCAGAAGAAGACAGGGTAGAGGATAAGAAAGCAGAGGAACCGTGTTTAGAAATCAGGTTTCCCTCATTAACTCTCTGTCATTTTGCTGGTGCACCTCTATTTTTCAGAGTTTTGTTACAACCCTCTTTAGATATTCGTTCATTAACTTGTGATATAATGTTACTATATGTTGAATATAGATGGGTATCTCGCTTAGTTTTTTAAAACAATAATTATTGAATGACACTTTAATGGTGTCTATTCGATTCAATGATAACTGGTGCATGGGGGTTATTTGTTTTAATTATATTCAGTATTGAGGAATGAGACAAAATAATCAATATAATGCCAAAAAATGGGATTTCAAGATTTAGAAGAAAAATAAATACCATCGGTTACCACTTCTTTTGTGTTAGCCGAAACCATGTTCAAGGGTTTAAAGGGTGCCACTTTGTGACTTGTTATTTATTTTTTATTTAGTTGCTTCCCTTTGTTCCAATGTCTAAGTTTCTTGGTTAGATCACTGTGAATAGAAGTTGGTTTGGACAAATATCAATAAAGTAAGAATATATTATAATAATAATTCAAAAGCAAACCTACAAACTATCTTTCTAAGTACACAAGGGAGATAAAAGGTATAAGTCTGACCTAGAAAAGTTGGACACATTCTTTTATTATTATTTATCCTAAAAAACGAAATCTTAAAGTAAAAAAGGGGCAACAAACAACTTTCTTGCATCTGACCACCTCAATATCAATTACTAATGTTCCGTATGACTTCTCATGAGCATAATAAGTGATTATGGATTTTCTTTTAAACATGAAAATAACATCATTCAATTCAGATCATTGAGGGTATGTAAATTTCAAAATTAATTTGATTTCAAATAAGAGGAATTAGTTGAGTTGTGACAGCTTGTTAATCCTATTATTTTTAAAATTATTTTGACTGAGACAGTCCGATGATTTTAAACAATTTTAGAAATAATAGATAAACAAATAAATAATCATAATTTTTTATTATTGATTTTGAGTTAATTTAAAACATAAAGCATAAAGAAAGTTAGTTCATTGTCAATTGACATGGGAGTCAGCTGAGCCGTGACGGCTCGTTAACTCCACATAATTATTTTGACTCATTTTGACCGTGATGGTTTGGTGATTCAAAATTAAATCAAATTTATCCCAAAATTTACGATAAAAATAAAAATAATATGAATATTATTATTCTTTTAAATAAAAGGGATTAGTTGAGTTAAGACAACTTGTTAATCCTGCAATTATCGTTTTGGATTATTTTAACTGCGATAGTTTGATATTCCGAGACCATCAAATTCAAAACTTTCAAATTATTTTCTTTAAACTACTTTCAAAATTAAAATCAATCAACACACAAATATTTTCTACAGAACGACGTAGCTTTGAGTTCCCTATTGTACCGAGGGATACGTCGGAGCGGGACTCTTCCCGTCAAGCACAAAAATAAATCTTCAAAATTAGTTTTCTTTTCAAACAATCATTCTTATTTATTTTTTTAGGGTGAAATAAATATTTAAAATTTTATCAATAATTTGCACAATTAATACAAGGTAACCGTTTTTTTAACGGACGGTGTAGGGTGTTAACATCTTCCCTACTCGTAATCGACTTCCGAACCCATTTCTGCTTTTAAAGACCAGTTTCCTTTAATAAAAGGTTTTTCCAATGTTTTCCTAAATAAACCTTGGTGGCGACTCCATTGTTTTAACCATTCAATATCTTTCGCCGTCACGTTGCGATACGGTTGCGACAACTAGCAAACGACAAAAAATTACATACTGCCTGCCCCATAGTTTATGTATGGATAAGTAATTTTATCAGCATCATGTATGTTCTCTTCTGATAAAAACGCAACAAGGTCATTTTATTACACATACAGTCCAAATATTTGGTTAACTATAAATGAATACAGTCAGTAACAAGGTGATTTTATTTGAGTATGAACACCAAGTATTGACAGAAATAAAAGGGATTTCTGTGTAAAGAAATAAATAAACAGGATTCCAGAAAACATCATGCTCTCATTTAACCAGTATTGACAAATAAATCAACGGAAGCCCAGGTCAGAAATGTTTTCGATGTTTCGTATGATTTTATTTCTTTCTTTATTACTTTCTAAAAAATGGTCTGT